TTTCCTTTGTTCTTATCGGGGAATATATTCAATATTCCCCTCTAATCAATTTCCGTTTAATAATCCCCTCTAATATTCACCTGCAATTAATAATCCCCTCTAATATTCACCTGCAATGTCTTTGCATCACAAAAAAATGAGAAAAAAAGAACACAACGAAGGCAATATGACATTAAGAATTATTTCTATTCTTACTCATTAATGCGACCTCGCAGTGTGAAAAATAAGTACGTTATTTTGAGGCACCTCGGGGATATGTGTTTATTCACCTTGGTGCTACGCGCCTTGTTGAATAAATCACATATCCCCTCGTTGCCTCAAAATAACCTATACGTACTTGAATGTTACCTTCTGTAACTGAGAGCTGGTAGCTTAATACACTCCCTATGGGTACTTTGGTGCTTAATTTTGTCTGAACCGTAGGTTTGCTATCAGAAAATACTTCTGCAAATCCTAAGTTTGGAAAATGCTGTTTAATTTTTTTCATGTAAACTGTTTTGCACCACTACTATTTTGTGCAGGACCCTGCCTTTGTATTCCTGAAAATCTTTTCTTCTCATGCTTAGGGTCAATGACACTACTCCCCATGATAGGTTCTGCCTTGATTCCTAATGGTCTTGGTTTATGCCATTGCTGTGGATTATCAGTGCATGTACCCACTCTAGGAAAGGTCTCCAAGCCTAATTTCAGAGTATGGTCAATGAGATATAATAATGCCATGACATGACAACAGAAACCACTTGCTCCAGCTACACAATTACATTTTGCATTGATAATGTCTCCATTATTGGACAGATTAACAGTTATGTTATGAGGCACTTGTGACTTTTTTGGGGATCGATAGCACTTTCCTTTAATACTGCAACTATCCACATTTAGCCCAACTACATCAAAAACATAGTTTTCAAAGAATAACTTATACCCTTTTCTTATTGGTTTTTCTGTGGTTTTGCCTTCTTTTGCACTTTTCTGTGTGTGTGTTTGGATGTTACAGAAGGAGAACTGCTTTGGTATGATGCTTGTTGACTCTGTCCATTATTGATCTTTGCTTGCTTCCTGATTGATGTTAGCTTCTGGCTCTATACAACATGCTGGGCATTTTGATATCATCTTCTTGGTGTAGCATTTTCCTGGATCAGGATCAACTTAGCTCATGGACAACAGTAAGGTTGTTTCTTACTCTGTATGTAAAAACAAATATAGGTTTAACTTCAGCAACAGTATCACATAAGGCATTTCTATAGTGTAGAGGCATGGTATGAACTTCATTGAAAAATACTCTATTAAAAAATACTCATTAATATAAATGTTAAAATATTTGTTATATGACCTTGATAACAGTTCTGCCTTGGTCTCTGAACATTTAAATTTGAGGCCTCTGCACGAAAGCCAAAATTTCAGTTCCTTCTTGGTGGCCTTGTCTACATTTACCATCTCACACCCTGGGATGTCTTTAACTGTTAGCTAGATGCACAATATATTAAATATAAATAGAACATTAACACATTGTCTCTGCTCATGACATTACATGTAGCCTGTGGCAGACTGTGTCAAAAGGCAAACACATTGAATCTAAAATGTAAAATAGCGTTTATCAAAAGTAAGCAAACCTTTGTACATGTACATTGCAGTGGTTCAACCTAAATCGAGAAAAATTCGTATCAAAATTATAGCAGTTTCCAGTGGATTTGCAATGTGGCACAGCACAAACACGGATGGTTAGACTACTGAATTTTAATAAAATACAAAAAATGTTAAAATACGAAGCCGCGGGCTTTTAAAATCGGCCACAAACCAAATACGACTTGTTTTTGTCATCGTATCTGTAGCCATGACGGCTTTGTTGTACAGTCACATTTATAATGTAAGAAATGGATATATCTTGCAAATATCATCGTATAATTAAATGAAAACATCATATCTTCCTCACAAACATGAAAAATGTAATAAATTATATACAACTTACCATTTTTGCGGGATTTTCCTTTATCAAAACAAACAAAGCGGAAGCGGAAGAAGTGCAAACCAAATTTAGCGCGTATCCGCGTTTGACGTTACAAAATAATTTATTCTTGCCGACGCCAGAATTTTAAGAAAGGTCTATTGTACCATTCCAACTTCATTCAGGTCCTTTTAAATGTGATTTCATTTTGCGCAGATACATGTACGCATTGCGTACCTATTTTTTGCTGTGTACTAGGCAGTATATTAAATAGCTGTTATCGTAATTGAATACGCCACTGCGGCGAACCAGCGGTATCTCAATGGAAGTATGTACGAAAACGAGGCTAAAGGGTCAAAAAACACAAAACATGACCCTATAGCCTCGTCTTGATGTTAAAATAATGCAGATACCGCTGGTCCGTAGCATAGACGTATTCAATTACGATAACAGCTATTAGGCTTAATATCAAAATCGATATCAATTATAGGTTTATCACATTCTATGAAATACAGTAATCTATACTTATCATTTATAGACCCGGGGCGAGGGGGATGCGGCGTAATATTTCCCGTAGTGATGATATTTTCCGAGGGGAAAATGATAGTAATGATAGTAAGGTACGACACTAACCCTCCAGCTATTCAAGAACAGCATTGACACTCAAGGGAAGCTCAGATTGAACCTTCACTCTTTGAGTGTGAGTGAGTTTTGAGAATACCGGCGTAAGTCTTTTATTTCTCTCTCGTAGCACAAGGGTAATAAGCCAAGGGTTATCAGCCACTGTTTAAATGTAATTTCTCCACGCTTGGCTTGCAGTATCCAAAATGTGGCTCTCGTTTGTACACGTTCCACTGTGGATTTAATTTTGATGGTAGGTGGAGACCAGACGTCGGTGGCGTAATTTACCTGAGACATCACAAGTGCCAAGTACAGCGTCCGCCTCATTGTGGTGTTAGTCAGTAGAGGGCAAGTTCGTTTAAGCATCTCTAGGGCCGGTCATCAAGTAAAAGGGGG